GACTTCCACATGGGTGATCAAGGTTCAACTACTAAACCTGGTGACTTGCTTTCACATCCCCCCCACACACACTCCTGTCTCTTTCTGGCCAAATTAAAATAACAATAATTTAATCAAATAATTATTTTTTTGGAGAGGTTTTTGCTAAAGGGCACGTACGCTCACCAGACAGACAGAGAGAGACAGAGAGATAGAAAGCGAGAAATCACCCCCCCGGGGGGGAGGACCACACCGCAATCCTTTCTCCTCCATTCTCCTCTCAGGATCTTAGGCACGCATGCACACGCACCCGGCATGAGTTTAAGCCACAGGGTCCAGGACTTGAACCACGGTCGACTACATGGGAGTACAACGACATAGCCATTATGCTAACTGCTGGTCCCGTTAATCAAATAATTCTTTAAAAAAAGAGAACTGCTAATGGAAATGCATGGAAAATATATTAAGCTATCACAAACCAACATATTAGAATCATCAACTATCATTATCATATAATCCAGTAAAACCAAGTAGAAATAAGCAGTAATCAACACTTCTGAACAATTAACATTATCTTAAACTTATGGAAGATATTTCTCATACTAAAAATTCAAGTTAAAAGTCATAAATTAGTAAAGCTATGTTATGAGGAGATAAAACATTTTCTATCACTGTGCAATGATGATATATTTGAGCTTCAGCAAAAAGATATTTTATAGAGATATTATTTATAATTGGAACATCTCATACTCGATCACATCTGTGATATTTTTCCCTGTGGCCACAGCACTATAAAACATTTTCACAGAAATTAGAGCCAGAATTAATCTTAGAAGTCATTTACTTTCGAGTGTCTTTTTCCTAATTTTTTAAAAATTGTTTTTATAATCATAAAGATAATAAAAAACTTTTGAAAACCTTTCAAAATATAAATTACAAAGGTATATAAAAGAATCTATCATACCAATTGGACATAAAGAACATAACACTTTCTAGTAAGTTCTTGATTTTTATGTAGCCACTTAATATCATAACCTTCATATCATTAATTTTTTTCAAAAATATAGTTTGTAATAAATGTATTGATACAATATTTCAAGCTCTGGATAAACAATTGTTTAATTGTTTTCTTACATTAATGTGCTGAGTATGCTTACTAAAATTTTCATTGTGTGTGTATGTGAAGAAAATATATATATGCTTATTTTATCAATTATTTATCGAGAGGCATTTAAAGAAGAGGAAACTCTTCTTTTGTGCTTGAAATGCAGACTGATACAAGTTAAAGAAGTGAGTAGTGGATTGCTAAGATTATGTAATTTTCTGTTTTACTATACCACATATGTTTGTAAGGAAGTGTACAAGTTTCTTTTGTGGTGTCATTCTCAACAAGTTGGCAGTGTGACTGTTAAACTATAAGCTATCTGTGAGATCTCTGTTTTAATGTATTCTATTGCTATAATTAATGCATACTGATACAAGTTAAAGAAGTGAGTAGTGGATTGCTAAGATTATGTAATTTTCTGTTTTACTATACCACATATGTTTGTAAGGAAGTGTACAAGTTTCTTTTGTGGTGTCATTCTCAACAAGTTGGCAGTGTGACTGTTAAACTATAAGCTATCTGTGAGATCTCTGTTTTAATGTATTCTATTGCTATAATTTGATATTGTTATATTTAAATTAATAATCCATTATTCACCATTTACTCATAAAACTATCCGGTTGTTTCTTAAGCCTAATATAGGTGCAACAAACCAAATCAGAAAAGCAAATGAAAATATTAAGAAATAAATAGTTAATAAAGAAAGACAAACAAGAAAAAATAAAGAATGAAATATTCTTATTCTTTTTTAATAGATCACGACTAAAAGTGTACTTGATTCTGGAAAAAGTTAACTTCATTACCAGTAAGTAGCAACTTACAGCAACTGGAGATTTAGCATAATTACTATTCAAAGAGTTACAGCATGTTAAAAGTAATTGGATATACTTCTGAAGTTCTTGGGGAGGGAAGTGAAAGCTAAAAATTTCAATCAATTTCCACAGAGTCAAGATAAGCATTCTACAGACAGTCCAGGTTACTGCTAGGTAGGTTGTTAATGTCAAAGACAGTGCATTACCTACTTCCAAGGGGAGAACTTAATCAACCATCCGGAAAGCTGGAGCTTGCTAACATTCTAGGTACAACCTCCAAGGATGCTGATTGATAAGCCAAAAAATTTCAATAGAAAATTCTTAGAATAATGTAATAATTTTCAAATCGATATGAATTTAAAAATTCAAGCTTAGCTGAGGTTTGCAGAATTATAAAACTTAGGTTTCAGTTTTAAGAATTATCAAAACTTTCGAATAATTAAAAATATCCAATCATTTGTTAATTAAAAATGCATCATGAAATCTCTACAATAAAACATCCCAGCGTGAAATAAAGATTGTGAGGACTTTACTTCTCTTTCC